ACTACGATTTGACGAAAATCCAGCTGGCTCACGGAAACATCGATTCCAGTACTAAATTTGTACTACGAATTGACGAAAGATTCCAGACGCTCCACACGCTATTCCTATATAATTCCCCAGTGCAGACACCCCTAAACCCAAAAACCCTAAAGCCCTGAGCAGAATGCCAAGGTTGGCCAGCGGCTCGAGGGTGTCACCGAGACCCCGGTGAAGTGCTCCGACGACCTGGCGAAGGTCAACGGCGTCTGTGTTAGGGTAAGGGTTTAGGGTTTTAGGGTTAGGGCTTAGGTCTTAGGGTTTTGGTTTTGAGGGGTGCTGTAGGGAATATTGGGAATATGGATCTGTCCTAAAACAGGGAACCCAATATAGACCCCAAAATACGACAGTTCTTATTATAGGTACCTTCAAAAGGTACCCCTCATTCGTGGAAACTCCCATACATGAGCTCCAGTATTTGAGCTGTAGTCTAAACTCCTATTAATGAGCATTAAAAAAGGGGATTATAAAAGGGACTACTATAGGGGTTCTTAAGGGGGATACGAGGAGTTTAGACTATGGCGCATATGGATTACAAGGGGAAGAATCCTTCCGCAATCAAAATGCAATGCTGGCAAGCGCGTAGTATCCAACCAAGACTTCTACTACTCAGGCCCTCCCAGTACGACAGGAAAGTCCGTATTCACATTTCTGAGGTCGGAGAACTTAAAAGTATAGCCATGTTCGAAGATTAACCCCAGAAGTCCATTCCAACGATGTAGGTTCACGCTCCCCCCTTTGAGAAAACCTAAGTCTCATGTTTTGTGAGATCCTTATGGTTGATTTTTCTCCTACGGGGCCCACAGGAGGCCCTTCATTTTGTAGAGATGCTGTACGGAAATAAACTCAACCTGGATGTGCTGGATGATGATGCTCCAGTTCAAGGAGTTGTTTGGCGAAGCCTTTCTGGCTCGAGTCGACCGTTCACGAGGTCTGCGGTGCAATGGCTGCAGCTGTGACCGAGAGGCCTGCATTGGATTGCCCTGGAGCCCATGGCTTGCAATCAATGTCTACGCCAGAGCCCGGACGTCTCTGTGACATCTGTTCCGAGACCATAAAGCCGGGCTGTGAGGCCTTTGCATGTCTGTCCTGTGGATTCGATGTCTGCGTCACATGTATGGAGCACGGACTGACCAAAGCCGACTGTGAAATCGAGAAAATGAGGAAGAAGATTTCAGGATATGCCAAGCAGCAACAAGCCTATGCCGACGATGCTAAGCAGACACTGGCCAAGGCGTCACTACCCCAAGCCTTGTTAGACATGGCAAAGTCTTTTACCGAGCGAGAGTTGCTTCTGGAGCTCCTCAAGTGGTTCAAAGCGGATTTCTTCCGGTGGCTGGACAAACCCTGCTGTGAGCACTGCCCTGCGAGTTCCGGCGCCAAGAACGAAGGAATGACTGAGCCAAGTGAAGAGGACGGCCGAGTTATGTTTTCTTCCTGTGACGCATACATGACAGCGAGCAATCATGGCAAGAACATGACAAGCACGATGCTGATAGCCGATGGCAGCAATTACGCATGGCAGTAGTCATGAAGACAGGGCGAATTGCTGGCACTTGTTGGTAACAGTTTGAATGCCGCTGCTGGCAATTGAGCAGTATCATGGCCTTGATGCCCATAAGACTAGCATGCGGACATACAAGGGATTTTTCAAGTCTTAGTTTACAGTGGGAGCTCCTAGAATGTGCATTGCAGTGTCTTGGGTGAAGTGTGTGCGGGAAACTCTTTTTGGTAGTACGCCATAGTCATCGGAAGCAGGAACTCCGCTACGGAGCCACCCGGGTTGAAGCCTGGCGCTGCGAGAGCTGTGGCCGCCTGTTGCGGTTCCCAAGGTACAGCCGCCCGGTCCTTGTTGGATGTGAAAGTTTCTAAAGTAGGTCCTGTCTAATCCCTGACCTCCCAATCCCGGTATGACCCCATGCCCTCTTTTTCGAGCCACTCCCGTTTTGGCTTACTGGTTCACGGTCAACTTTGGATATCGTAGTTTCCATGTCATGTGGTGTTCACTTCCCGTTCAGCTTTGGTTTGCCGTGTTGACTCTTTGCATAGGACATCAGTTCAGCATCTCTTGGGCCCAATGCATTCTGGACAATGTAGACTCTTCACTAGCATGTACACTGTGATTTTCAAGACATCTGTTCTTTCCAACAGTGCATCGAAATGATTGTTAACACAACATGGGGATTCGACACAGAAACTTTTTCACACCACCCTAGCAACGATCTAGGTGACCCAGCACGTTTGTTGGAGACTCGGCGAGGCAGGTGCGGCGAGTGGGCCGATTGGCTTTGCGTTCAGAAGAGCTTTATTGTGTTCATTGAAGATGTTGGAAGATTCCCAGATGTTTTTTTGGTTGGATTATAAGAACCCAAAATCCACTTTCTCCGAACGCGGGAGCCCAGAGCAGGCTGCAGAGAAACTCAGGCCAACTGCTTCACACTGATTGCGACAGCTCTTGGCTACCAAGCTCGCCTTGTCGTGGACTGGACTGACCATGTGTGGACTGAGGTTTGGTACGGAGGGTCATGGCACCACTGCGACGCTTGCGAAACCTGCTTGGACGCTCCACTGACCTACGAGGTTGGCTGGGGAAAGAAGCTGACCTACATCATTGCTTTTGGTCCAACGGAAGTGGTTGATGTAACTGCGCGCTACACTCGTAACTGGGCAGCGGTCCTTTCGCGGCGGACCTTGCTTTCAGAGGAGCAACTGGCCAAGGCTATCGAAGATTCAGAATCTAGTCTGCGAGGAGATCTCCTGGCTCCTGCTTGGAGAGACCTGGAAGAGGCTGAGCTTGCTGAGCTCCGGTCTCAGAAGCAAAACTCGTCAAACCTTTCGCCTGCCGAGCTTTGTGGTCGCACGTCAGGGTCCACGGACTGGCGAGCTGAGCGAGGGGAGCTGGGCATACTTCCTGTGCTCATAGCAGAATCATCCACCACCATCGACCCTTCCCTCCCTTCCCTAGAGCCCAAGGATGCAAATGTGCAGCTGCAGCCTGCCCAGTTATTGTCCGGTGCTGCACTGGGCCAGCACTCAACTGGAGTCAGGTGTTTGGAGCTGCGTGCACCCTTTGCCACCGTTGAGCTGCCTGCTGAAGCTCCAGATGCGTTCCTCTGCCCGGAAGGCTTCACAGTAGAGGCTTGGGTTGCTGCGTCAGCAGAAGAGCTGCAGCCCTTGGCTCATGCAAACCCAGTGATCTCACGCCACGGCCCAGCCTCGGGCTGGGAGCTTCGGATCTGCGCTGAGGGTGCAGTGGTCTTCTTGGTGACAGTGGACGGGATCCACAAAGAATTGCAGAGCGCAAGCTGCTGTGAATGGCGCGGTCAGTGGATCCACGTGGCAGGGTCCTTCGATGGCCAGGTCTCTCGAATATTCGTTGGCAAAGAGCTCGTGGCTGAGCAGCAGGTTGCTGCAGGCCGAAGATGCACTCCAATCGCTTGAACGAACAGAAATCTTTCAAGGATTTTAAGGGCAAATTGTTTTTTGGTTTTGATCAGGTCCGGGCATTCGATCAGCCTTCGAGGGGCCATTGTGCCTGGGGAGAAATCCAGCTTGGAATGACCGTGGTGCCCGATGTTGGCTCTATGCTGCACGCATCACGCCTCTTGTCTGTCACTCTGATCGCTTCTGTGTGACTTGTCTTGGCCTGCTTCAGTGTCTTGTCGAAATAGGTGACTCAGGTCTTATGCAAATCTGCACCAAGGCAATCCGCTCTGGCTGTATGCGACTTCCTACCTGCTCCAAAAGTGCATGGGGGCAGTTTTCTCTGATCTTCTGTGATGGTTTGCAGCCACGTCCGCCTCAAGATCCTGGACCGCGCGCAGCGCAGCAATTAAATCGCCGGAGCTGCAGGAATGAAGTGTGAGGGCGCGCGCCTGACTGCACGCACTGTGGTTATCTGTGGTTGTTGAAGCCGCCCTTGAAAAGTGGAGAATCGGGCATGTACATAGTACACAGGGTGCGCGGCGTACACGGTGAGGCAACAGATCTCCGCAGGAAAAGCGACATGAGAACCAAAAGAGTGCTTTGTGGATTTTGCTGGCAGGTGGTGGCCACTGGACTGGGCAATCGGAAGGTCCGTGCTACAAAGATGAACGCGGACTCCTCCAGGCACATCCCAGCTGGCGCATTTGCTCGGCCATCATAGGCATAAAGCTTTGCTTCCCGTAGAATGTGGCAGGGTAAGCCTTCTGAAGGGAGCAGGGTCTTTGAACTTGATGCAGGTCTCACCTCATGCTCATCATCAGTATGGACGTCAGCGACAAGGAGACAGGAAGGTGACGCTTGCTGCCTTTTTCTCTTAGGCTAACGGCTAACATAGATTCGTGGCAGCTTTGTGGGCTGGGGCACAAGAGGGCTAGTCATCCTAGGCGCTTGCAGAGCACAGATCCCGCTTCAGGCTTGTGTACTCAACATCTGCAGGCGGCGGTTGGGCAAGATATCTATCGTGGATCTTGCAGGCCCGGGCTGTGCGATCAGGAAGTCTCTTACGCCGCTTGAAGAACATGACGGTCCGTGGGTGTTTCTATAACATGGTCTCACTGTAATAGAGAATCAAGTGGGCAACAACATGGAAATGACATGGAAACCGAAAATTCTCCCTAACCTTGCTCTGGTAGAACTCCAGACCTGACCAGGCTCAGAGCGCCTGAGCAAGAGTGAAGTCACGGGCGAGGCCACGCAGGGGCCAGCTGTGTTATATAGGGAGATGGAAAATAAAGTGGAGACGATAGGGATTATAGGGAGTGTATAGGGGTTATAGGGGATAGAGTGGGGTGATGTGGGGATTATGGAAAAGAAAATGGAAGCTACTACAATATATAAGGGTATGTAACAGGATATATGTCATAGGGATATCGCAGCGGCTCGTGCGATTTCTGAGGTTGGGGTGTGATGGGGCGTGGCTGGGGCTTGGGCGCAATGGTACACATCTTGAAAATCGTCCTCTGGGTCAGCATGTCTTAACGGTTTGGAATCATGGGCCTCCGGGCGGGCAGGCGGAAGTTACAACTTTTGCAAACCTTGTGGGTGTTCTACGCATGCCGCCAGGCTCAGAAGGAGGCCATCGAAATCAACAAATCCTTGACCGCGCTCGGAGATGCCGGAGCCCTTGAGCTCTTGATCTCGCGGGTTCACGGATCAGAGGAATGGCATGAAGTGTGAGCCCTTGATAATTTTGTTTTTGAGGGGCCTTATACAAAGAATGAAAAAAGGTTCTTCTTCAAGGTCGACATTGGGGTTGAGATGGGTGTTGGATTTTTCTTGTCGAGGCAAGAGGGTAATCTGGGAATTGGACCCCCTCACAAGAATGGAGGCAGTCTCGGTGGACGCCTCTTCTCATCGCAATGCCCTGTGTAGGTCTTTTGGTACCGGCCAGCCCAACTGTACCTTCCCACAACCTCTTATACGAGCCAGTCCTACCATCCAACAACCTCTCCCGTTGACATGTTGTGACTTGGGCATCGCGTGATTTTTCCGCTAGGAACATGGTACATGGCAAGAAAAGGTTCCATTCTCAAACAGTAGGGCACAACGTGAGACGCCTCCGAAATGAGACCACGACCTGTCCCACTGTTTTTCACGCGTGCGTGGTGCAGGTGATGATGGCATTTACTTCCCGCGCCAAGCTAATTCCGTGCCGCTCTGGGTTTGCGATTCTAGGTGTATCAGGCTCCATCCATGAATGATGTCATGCCCATATGGGCCTTTGCAAGACTGCCGCTGTACTGCCGACAATTTTGTACAGCGTGCTCCATATTTGTTTGGGGGCGGGTTTACTGACTCTACTTACTCAGATCAAGAACTGTAAAAGATTCGGTAAAGTCGTTGGCTGAGCGGGTGCGCCTCAGGTACCGCAATCATAAGCTGACGCAGCTCATGCAGGAGCCGCATGCCACCAGGGATCCAAGCAAGACCTACATAATTGGTCACAGGGATTCCCATTATTCCCTACAATTCGAAGGACAGCCTGGGGGGCTCAGCCAAGACATTGATGCAACCCGGATGCACTGATGATGCTGGATCTTCCTGCATCCCTGTTCCTCTAATAAGAAAGCATAAGAAAGCCCCAGACCAGCAGTTGAAGCTCTCTACTGAGGAAAGCAGTGCAAAGCGAGGCATTTCTCACTCAGATGATCATGTGTCTTCTGCCTCAGGTTCGTGAATGTTTCGCCGTTCCAGCCTCAGAGTCAAGATGAAACTGCGACTGTTCGAAGCTGCTTGCGGTGCTCTGTGCTCCGGCCACGGTAACATGTCTAGAGTTCCCGCGATGGTGGATTCAGGTTTTTCTGCGTTCTGGCAGTGCCAGGTCCTCATCGAACGCAGACGAAACCATCAACTCCCTGAAGTATGCTTCCAGGGCCAGGCCAGCTCGTTCGAAGTCCCATACTGACACGTGAGCTTGTGCATTCTTCGCAGGTGCATTGAAAACGAAGTGAAGACGAACGGGCCGAGCACCAAAAGCATTGGGCGCTAGTAGTGACCTGAACTTGTGAGGCTCCTTCTTTCATTCTATTGCTTGAGCTAGCAAAGTTCGATCACCTTCCTGGAACCGCCTCATTGGTGTGTCGTTCAGCCTGGAGCTCGAAGCACTGTCCGTTTGGCAAAGCCACGGGCGTGCTTTGTATTGGAGCAGTTTGCTTCGGTCCAGGTTTCATCTAGAGTCTGGAGATACGGTCTCACCATAGCTTTCCAAAAGCTTTCCGCCAGGGCAACGGGACTAGTGGGTAGGTAGAAAGAGACTGAGAGAGGCCAGCTTCACGGATCAGGGTTGACATATGCGAGCCTCCTGGATGGGTGCAGACGCTGTTCCGGGCTTGAGGTGTTGCCTGGGGCGAGGGCCTCCAGCTCTCCCTGCAGCCCCTCAGAAAGCAAGGCCAGCCTGGTGCCTCTTGGGTGGGATGATAGGCAGAGGCTGGGCAGCGGTGGGTGTCTGTTGACTTGCTGGCCATGTTATTTGCGATACCTGGGACCTTGCCCTGCGGACCGAGTAACCGCTTGGGCTCAGGAGCTCGGGACAAGGCGGAGGTGCAGACCTCTGAGAAGAATTGAGAAGAAGAGAGAAGAGAAATCCTTCTCTACATGAGCATGGGAATCATCGCAGAACATGCAGACTAGTAGAAAGGCTGAAGGTAATGATTGCGGATTGATGCTGTTGATGTTTCCACCCGTGCTTGTAATCCTGCCTGTGTTCCAGCAGTCTGCAGTCTTGGTTCCCAACTGCCGTAAGAGCCATACTCGAGACATGGATATGACGGAGGACACTTCGATGTCACATACACTCTCCACATACACTCTGGGCTAGGTCCTTTCATTATTGCGAGTTGAGATTTCTGTTGGCATCGTGTCAGCATTGATAAACGCCGCGTTTCTTTTCAGACCACTTTGCCGGAGTCCGAGAACTGGGTGCGCCTTGTCTGTGGTGGTCATGGACCCTGGGTCAAGCCAAATTAAAGCGAGGCAGCATGAAACAACGTAAACGAGAGTGGAACAGACCAGAGATTGAGCAGAGGCACATGGCTGCCGAGTGCTGGGACATGAAGCCTTCCTGATGCCATTGCTGCTCCAAGTTTCAGGTAATGGTTTTCGGGCTGAGATACAGAGGTTTCGAATCCCCGAGGCTGCTACGTAAGGTTTTGAAGTAGAATCGATCCCCAGACGGCGACAGGTGCCCTGGGTCAATTTGAGTCGGTTTCAGTTTCGAAGCGGGAGGCCTGTCTTCAAAACAGTTGAGTCTCACGGTCTGACGGGCCAAATCCTGGCCATGTGGGCAGCATGGGCACCTGAAGTGTCAGCCAGTGAACGACTTTGTGAATGCAGAAGAGGCCATCCAACAACACAGCTTGCACTTCCGTGTGGATTTCAGTCGTTTGCAACTCTTGTTGCAGGACGCTATTGCACCTGGTGGGCTGCGCCGAATCCACAAACCGTGCTTGGTGAGAACGGATTTGAGAAAGCATGCGGTAGTTCGGCACGGCGAGCACGAGCTGAGCCAAGACATAGGCGCCTGCAGCATCCTGCAGCAAGCTTTCCGCTAAACTGATGATTAGGCACTTGCAAGAGTTGGCAATGCCAAGTGCAGGTCACATCCCATCTCACTCTGCTCTGCTGCAGCTGCGGGCATCTGGGCCGCGCCAATGCTGCGCCGGCACAGGACTTGGAACTCTGCACGGCGGCGCAGGACTTGGGTAGCTCGGTGGGCCCAAGACGCTTACGGCGGAGCCCTGACTGTAAAATCAGTCTCAGAATGGCTTTTGTCCTGGGTTCCCTCCACTTCCAGTGACTCCAGCGACCAAGGAGCAGATGATACTTCCCTTCAGGAGGTCAAGGCCCTGGTCGAGCAGCGAAAGGTTGAGGAGCTGCCCGATTTTCTTGAGACGCTGTGCTCGGGAACTGGAGATTGAGAACATTTCAGAGGTTACAGGGTTTTCGTGTATAGAAGCTTGTAGCTACAAGGTTCCTGAAAATACTTTTTAATTTCTGTTACCAACAATCCTAATATTTAGCTGAAATAATAATTTCTACTGGGGTTCCAAATCCCCTAGAGGTAGGACAAGTGTCCAAGGACAAGTCTCCAGGAGGGTAACGAAGGGATCGTGGAGTATGCCGTGCAGTGCTTGCTCGATGCGGGCGCGCTGAGAGCAGCAATCTCCATCTACCAGAGGCCATGGGTTTATAGTCGCCCTTAAGTAGATAGAATCTGGGATATATGGGGATCTCATTATAATATACCCAAAAACTACATTCTATCTACTTAAGGGGGACCATATGATCATGATGGCCAAACCTCATTGAATTTCTCTCGCAAGGCTGTAGTTAGTGTCTACTCTTGGGCTTCAGGGGGGCGGCCGAGTACATGTGAGTCGCTCATTTCAGCTCCCTTCTGCAGAGGTGGTGCTGGGACGAACAGGGGAGGCCTGAGAACGGGGGCGAAAGATCTGCCCTCCACTAGCATGATTTTCTGCCAATTAAGGGTTCTGGGGCTATGGAAAGGGCAAAGGCCTTTGGTGCTGAGACGGACGGGTGGGGAGGGTGGGACTAAGGCCATCTGTTCCCTGGCAGGATTATCTTGCCGGTCCCTCTCACAGGGGAGGTGCTACGAATTCTGGCAGCGTCTTCCCAGTATTTGGCTGCTGTTTCGCATCTTGAAGCTCTCATGAGCGCGGCCACACTTTTCGAAGACAACGCGACAAGCCTTTTCAACATGATTCTTCTGGGAATGCAGCAGTCTGGTCATCCTTTGACACCGAACCGCGTAGACCAGGTGGTGAAAAGGATGATTGAAGCTCGAGCCGAGCCCAACTCCGAAACCCTGCGTACGCTCGTGGAATCTAAGATGCAAAATGCTGGTCCTGGGTTTCTCATGGATGTGGGGCAAACGGTGCTAGACTTGGGGCGCCGCTTTGCTGGCATCCCGCCACAGGGTACGGCATTGCTGGCCGTCAGTGCCGCACATCTCCGGGCAGGAGACATTGATGCCGCATACCGCTGGTTCCTTGCAAGCCAGCTGGAGGAGAAGAGGCAGAGCCTGGGCCCTCCGAGCACTAACGGCGTTGGCTCCAGCACGCTTGAGCTCGTGTCGCAGTTGGCGCGCGGCCTCGCGGTTGCAGGCCAAGCGACTCAGTTGCTGCGCCTTCTTCAGAGGGTGCAGAAGGATAAAGGAAAGCTCCCCAGAAGTACCGCATCGGTTGCCTTAGCTGGCTACACGTCCGGCCGCACCCTGGCCACATGCTGGCTGGAGCCACCTGCCGACGTGGTTAGACGGCGTGGCATTTGGGCTTCCGGAGACAAGGTGAGGGTCACATGCGCAGAGCAGTGGAACTGGAGCCAGCTCGATGCATCCCGCCATGAGGTGCACCAGTGGCATCCATATATGGCACCAGACACGAAGCTGGAACGAGCGTGGGTAACCCCATTCCGTGCCTTTGATGTGAACGCCTTGGGCCTTGTCCGCGACTGGTGCGGGGAGACGCCTGCGCAGGCAACAGCTCGGGAGCGACTTGGCGAACGAGACAAAAGCCCAGCCCTGGACATGAGATCGGCTCTCTGTGTCGAACCGCCTGGAGCGCGTGTCAGCAACAGCTCCTCTTTCTTCTCTCTATCTGAGCGTGCCAAGAGCCGGCCGGTGGCCTTGACGCCGAAGCCCCGTACGTGGCGAAGCTTTCAGGCCGATGTCGTAAAGAAGGCTTTTGCAACCTCCAACCGCTTTCGGGCTGCCAGCCCGGAGCGCCTCCGGCCACTCAGCTAAAATTGATAGAATGCAAAGACTTGATCGGAATTGAATTGCTCCGCTTGCTGAGGCAGGTCTTGCTAGCTGAAAAGTCCTCGCAGCTTCTGCTTGGAGCAAAGCAGGTGAGCTTTGCCTGTTTGAAATGGAGCCTTGCAACCTCAAGATGTCTGCCATCATGCTCTATTCCGTGTGGACTCGATGACATCAGTAGCAGGTTGACTTTAGCACTGCATGCTGGCATTGAAATGGAGGGGTCATCAAGATTTTCCCTGAACATTGAATTCCATATGCCAGGTACCGGTCAATTCCCAGGTCCCGTGGCTCGAGCTGGAGGACTGTCATTCTGGGGCTTTTCCATCAGGGAGTCTGCAAACCACATGGGGGCACACACCTGCTTTGATATCTTTCGACGCTTGGAGGCAGCCGAAGCCGGCTACACTAACACAGGGCTCACCTCGTAGACCTATATGACTTCAGCATCTGAACGGATTAAGTGCAGATCAGAAGCTAGGCGCCTACAAGTCGGCATTTCCCAATGTGCAGGCAAATGTCAAGTCTCTCAGTGGCCAAGAAAAGGAGGCCTTGATCAAATTCGAGGACCGCTGCACTGCACTAAGCTTCTGTGTTTATGGACTGACTTGATTTCGCGGCGGTTTCTTTGACGCGCCCGAGCTCACCAACACTGAAGAGTGGGTTGGTTACCTTGGTGATGTATTGTACTTTTGAACCGTGTCGAATGCTTTTGCGTCTTTAGATGATGAGTATGCTTTGCGTAATGTGCTTTCTTCATAGTACAATGCTACGGAAGTGCGTCTACCTGGCACCACAGAAAGATCCAGGACGTCAAAAATCCCACCAGGGCAGAGATGGAAGAAGCCCTCGTCATCGCCAAGGCAAGCCGTGCCGGCAATGGAGTCGTAAAGATCTTTACGGTTCAGCATCAATTCTATGTCACGGTTATGATATGTTCAAGCAACCACACGACTTATCGAAAACTGGACTGAGTGGTACACAGCGAACCGAAAACACATTCTTTATGATCTGATAAGGTATGATATCTTTTGCTAGATGATGAAGTCGGTTCCCAGGGATAGACTTCTCGACACCTCCAGAACGAATGCAAGAGTACTACTACGGTGCTTGAGATTTTGCAGCATGAAGGGGTTTCAAGCCATTTCAAGCCTAGACCCCTCAGCTAGGTGGCACTTGAAGCCAAGGTTGAAGACAAGGCCTCGAAGTTTAGATTCAGACTGATGCGGCCCAAGCTGAAAGAGCTTAGCCCTGAGCCCCTGAACCGTGAAGCTTGGGCGATACATCCCTTCCACCTTGAGCCCTGATGCCTGCAACGCACCTGACAGTTCGGCGAAGACTTCTTGGCATCTAAGACGAAGTCGTCCATCATAGCAGATGGCTGAGCACTTGCGCATTGGCATCAGTGTCATTTCATTCTCATTGCCAGTGTCATCATGAGTGCGGTGTAAGTCTGAACTACCGATGTCATCATCACATCACTCTTTTCACAGGCCCTTGTTTTGTTCTTGCTATCTAGCAATCCTAAATCGGCAAGCACGTGTCTGCTTCATTCTGCAGAAGGCCGGCTATTCTATAATGTTTTTTCGGGGATTATGTGGGACATTCGTTGATCATTGTAGAGGGTGTGCAGGCAACATCGTGGGAAAGGTGTTGTTTTTTCAGCAGGGTTCCTGGAAACGCTTGTCGTTCCAAGGTTATAGCTTCCATGACATGGTGCGAGATCTGCTCCATGTCAAGTTGGGATCTAGACAGGAGGGCTTGATTGAGTCATTCCCAGTGTTATTCAGCATCAGTAATTTCTGACGATCTACTGCCTTATCCACACCCTGAATTGCTGTAAGCTGTGTGGTAATGTTAACCTCAATCCTTGTAGGAGGGATATGGCAGCAAGCCCGGTAACGCTACATGACTCCTTTACCGCAACGTAGACACAAGAACGAAGAGGTACTGTCACTGTTTTAGAAACTGTACACCATCTAGAACTGTATGTACATGCATCTACAACTACTTTAAATGGATCAACCACGTTGGGGATTAAGCACTTCATGGCTGCGGGAAGTATGCATTCAAGTCACATCTGTACTGCAGCACTCCCCCCGTTCTGCGCTTTGGCAGAACGCCGCCTGCTTATTACTAACTATAATTCTTGCCCCTCCAGGAAAAAGAGTATATCCTCTACTATGTACAAATGAGCTGGTTGAAATGAAGGATTGCCTGTAAAGCCTGGTCAAGAACAGGAGGCGTGACCTTTTGACTGAGTAATGTAGAGACATGTAAAGTTGCCCTCAGCCTGCCCAGCGTACTCTATGGGCCAATGACAGTAAACATTGTACTAGACAGATTATCGGTATTATTCACTAATAAAGAGATGGCACGGGTCCTTTCCCTATAGTTGATATGTCAACTCTGGCAGCGGCTGAGGTCCAACCTCTACGGGGTGAGAAAGAGGGAATTAAGGATGCCAATGATGTTGGCGGGGGAGCGAGCATTGTCAGCATCATTGGGTCTCCGCTTCTCGTGCGGGTGGCCGACACTGCAACTCGAAGCATCAGCCAAGCTTAGGGCCACAATCCAACCCTGTCGGGTGCCTACTTGCTCAACTCAATGTCTGTTGTTGCATCGCTATGAGGCTATGTTCAAGGCTGCCACGTCAATTGCAAAAGGGGAGCCTTCACCTCAGCTGTATGGTTGCGAGTCTGGATTCACAGGCAAGGGTTCCTCCCTTTGATAACTCCCATGCGGGTTTTGTTGCAGCTTGCCGTTTCGGTGCAGAAGGAGCATAAGTGTGGTTGGCATCAATGTCGAACAGGGCTTTCGTGCTGTTTGGTACCAATGCTGTCAAATCGCAACAGTCTCAGAAATATGGTGGTAGCTAGCCATGGAGGCCATACTTCTCCGCCACTTATATGATGCCAGCACTTCAAGCTGTAGCCTTCTGAGGTCGTGTCGGCTGGAGAAGTCGGACGAGGTCAGGAGCTTTGGGTGAGTCGTTGCAGGTAGGAGATGATTCTCTATTCTCTATGTATTGAACTTCACAAACAAAAGCAGGTAGTCAAGGGGTTTCAGCCATCTCCGCAAAAGGAAACGGAAAGGTGGCCTCGCATTTCCAAGTGTTCCAATATCAGGTGTTGGGATCCAGTATCGCAGGTTTACATGTGATCAGCAGGGACTTGATGACTCATGCTTAAGGCGCAAGGTAGAGGGCGCTTCGAAACCTCCTGAATTCCTGAAGCCCCATAAGACAGCCAGTAACGATCATTCCAACCTCTGAACAGTCTTCTTCCGAAAGGAAGCTTACTAGGGTTGCATTGCAAGGTACCTGCTCTCCCCTGCTTTGACCGGCCCATTGGGCCAGGATTATCTGCAAAGTGTGCAGAATTTGTCTGACGACGAGCTCGAGCAAGCTTGGAAGGCAGCGACGCAGGAATGCAGCAGCAAATGGGCTTTTCTCGGAGATGGTGACTTATCGGAAGGAAGTTCATAGCAAACAAGAAATCACTTCGGATCAGCTTTCTGGCAGAGAGATGACACAATAGAGGTTTCATCAACAAGCGCTGTGCGGCGCCTTGTACCAAACTTGTATTCAGATCAGCATTGTCCTGCCAGCTCCTGTACGCCCAGCGCAGCACGGAAATCATGGGTGTGCAGCTCAGATTTTGGAGAGTTATTGTCTCTAGCATTTCAGTCACGCCTAAGAGCCAGGTCCAAAGTTGTCCGCCAAAGTGGAGGCCGGGTGTTTGTGGTTCAGCCGCTTGACTTCAGGCAAGCTGCTGTTGCATGAAGGTCCAGAAGCATGCTTCGTAACTCGGGGTGGCACATGCATCTCAAATAGCAGCACTTGTAGTGAATTACGATCATTATTCTTATTACTACCACTACTATCATTGTTACTACTATTCCCACCGTTGCAAGCACCCCATCCCGCCATCTCAAGTTGAGCCACTCGCCAAAGCCCGAAACCCTACAGCCCTAATCCCTAATCCCTACACCCTGAACCCTAAATCCCTAAACCCTTAAACCCTAAACCCTTAACCCCTAAACCCTAAACCCTAATCCCTAAACCCTACACCCTAAGCCCCAATCCCTAAACCCTTCACCCATAAACCCAAAATCCTAAACTCTTAAGCCTTAAGCCCCAAATCCCTAAACCCTAAATCCCCAACCCTAAACCTTGGGCAGGCAAGCCTTCTTGAAGAGTTGGAGGTGCCTCTGGGCTGTTGGGAGTGAGATACACAGCCAAGATACACTTTGGCCCTAACTCTTAGGATTTTGGGGCCTAAGGGTTCGGGTTTAAGGGTTTAGGGTTTAGGGAGCCTAAACTCTTCGGATTTTAGGGGCCTGGGGTTTAGGGTTTAAGTGTTAATATGGGGTTATATAGGGAAAATGGAAAAGAAAATGCAACCTACTATTTAGGGTTTAGGGTTAGATGAGTGCTCCAGCAAGGGTGCATCCTGAAGCCTCAAAGGATGTTTTGTAGCGAGATTCTCTTCAAACCCTTGAAGATTCAAGTGGGCATCCTTATAAGCTCACAGTTGATGCATGTCGCTTAGGCGGACCCCCACCCAGTAATAGTGACTATAAGGGATAATAGGGATTATATTAGGGCTCTCTTATATTCCTATTGTACTACTATTACTATTACAGGGTGGGGGGTCCTCCTAACATGTCGCAGTAGTCTGCTGGCAGGTACCAGTAGATGGGATCTACCTTATTGTAAACCCAGGGATAGGACTCAAGCTGTACAGGGCATAGCCTCCCCTGATGGTAACTACCCCATCCGCTGACTGCCTTCATGAATTGTCTAGGTATATTGTAGTACATATTGGGATAACGGAAAATAGAATGGAAACAACTGTTCAATGCTTCCAGCTTAGGATGTTCATGATCGGCAGGTTGTGACTGAACATGCCCTGATATGCTCACTCATCAACTGCCACGTTCTTTGACTTTATAAACCTTTTGAACTGTCTTCCAAACTCCTTAAAGGCTGGTTAGATATGCACAACCCATTGTTGTAGTTTCCACGTTCTTTTCCATCATCCTTAGATAACCTATATTGCCCTATATTATCCCCCCAATATTACCCCCAAAAAAGCCCTAAACCCTTAAACCCTAACCCCTGTAGCGCAGACAGGACAATCGGGTCAATAACTATCTTTCCAACATAGGTGTCCGTCTGTCCATACACCCGAAAGCACTTTGTAGTTCACCTTGTGATCAGCTACCAGTAACCACTCTCAGCTCCGCTGCTCGGGGAGGGACCTGTGTTGAGCATCAAATCTCAGACCTGTGCTCCACCCTAAACCGTAAACCCTAAACACCCAAGACCCTGACGATTGGCCACACTTTTCATTTCGCTTTTTAACCAGCCCGTGGTGCCCCAGCCGCATTTTGGCCTAAAACAAAAGAGGGCTATGCTCACAGTGTCACAGTCCACTGGATTTTGGCTTTCATCGTTTCTCTCATCACCCTGGAGTCAGTACTGCTGCGCAGACACTTTTTCGTGGAAGTGTACGGACCAGCTGCGTCCATGCTCTTTGACGGTGACCGTTTCCCATGCTGTGCACCGAGTCTTTCTGCTGATTCCTTTTGTCTGTTGATTCATGTGTCGCATTTTTTGGGTTTGCTGGTGCTGCGCTGGACGTCTTTTTCTTTACACAAGCAGAGATGGGAGGGAACGCTTGTTGTCCTGGTAAGGAACACCCAAGAAGTGGCCCAAAATATTCTTTCAGCTTGGCACAGGAGGACGAGAAGCTGAGAGGAAGCGCTCAGGATGAGCTTGAGTTGGTTCGACCCTTAGACTATTGGGATAATGGAAAAGAAAATGGAAAACACTACTACAATGGGGCTATATTGAGGTTATATTGAGATAATGGAAAAGAAAATGGAACCTACTATTTAGGGTTTAGGGTTCTTGTGGATTTGGCTCTCTAGGATCGGTATACAGGGACCTCAATGGGTGTATTTTCTCTCATTCTTCAACGGGGGTTGTTGGGCGGTTGTTGGTCTCGGTGACGTACACAAGGATCTGCCTTGAAATGGTCACTATCAGATCTTTCGCACTCTGGGTGTTCCTATTCTGATGAAATTCAGGATTTAGCAGCGTGAGTCATATAATCCCTATATAATCCCTATGTAACTACTCACCGCCAGCCCACATAAGAAAATTAGGGGTCCTTGTCGGGAATCCCCACAGCTAGGACTAGGGCATATTGAGAACATAAATTGTTACATTCTAAACAATCACAACCCACCTGAGGTACTATTCCATTCTGCTAGTTTTCCTGCAAGCATTGCAACATCCAGGCTTTGGAAGTCCTCAGCTCCTTGCGAGATGTTGGCGTACAGGGCTGAGCCAGCAGACATGAGCGAAGTTTGATACAGATGCGATGAAGTGCTTTGCTTGAGCACAAGCAGTGAGAACAAGCGAGCTTAACACAACGTGTCAGTGCAAGGGGCGGTCTTCGATTTGAAAGAGGCAGAACCAAATACCCCACTATGGTAGTTTCCATTTTCTTTTCCATTATCCCAATATAACCCCAATAGAACCCCAATATAACCCCTGTTAGCATCTCATCCAAGTCCTAAGGTGAAACCCACATCCATGGACTGCAAGGCCCCGGGCCTGTGCCAGCGTGGGTCAGAAGATTTATGCAAACAAAGAAGTTTGGGAAAATCCCTTGCCCACCCTCCCCATCATAACGTGGAGTGTTCAGAGGTTGGCGTGCAACCGTAGCATGTTTTGACTGCATTAGTGAATGACAATTATGGGACTTATTGTCCCAGGGTCGCCAATGCAAGATGTTTGTTGATGTCGCTGCCATTGGAAGCTCCAGGCAGGGTGCTTGGTCTTCAGTTTCAGGCTCGTCAAGTTCTCTCGTTCGCGAGAAGCAGCCACAGCCGCAAAGCGTGTACATCCACTTCTTTGTGCCCACACCTACAGGTAGCAAGACCTAAGACATTCAACTTGTTGTGACTATCGTTAATATTGCCACTGCTAGATTGTCATGGATCGTAAACATTCCCCCCTACTGACCCCTCCCCAAACAAGGCCTGAATGAATTGTAAATATGCCCTGATTAGGCCTTCCATTTTCTTTTCCATTTGATTCTCCATTATTGGTATAGCCCCTGAAATCCCCTATGAACCCTCTACAATCTCTACACACCCGCCTAAACCCTAAACCCTAAACCTTAAACCCTAAACCCCAAACCCTAGACCTGAAACCCTACATAATCCGTGGTATCAACCTGGGAACCTTCCCCAGGCATTGCTCCAGGCGGCGCATGCCATTGGCAATCCCGAGCTCGCCACGAAGGCTGTTTAGGGCTTCGGGCTTAGGGTTTAGGGATTAGGGTCTAGGGATTAGGGTCTAGGGATCGGGGTTTAGGGGTTTAGGGTTTAGTTTTATCCTCTCCTTTTCCTTGGGGTTGCTCGGATCAGTCCAGGGTGTATCAGGGAGGAGTTCCGAATGCAGAGCTGCGATAGCATTTTGTAGCGCTAAACCCTAAACCCTAAATAGTAGTTTCAATTTTTTATTTTCCATTATCCCAATATAATAACCCTAGTATTACCCATAAACCCCATACCCTATTCTTACAAAGACGCTTGCTGCGGCAGATCCGGCTGAGAGCAGTCTTTGCCTTTTTGAATTCATTCATTTTGGGATAATGGAAAAGAACATGGAAACTACTATAGTATACTAGGGTTATATTGGGATAATGGCAAATGAAACGGAAACTAGTATTTAGGGTCTAGGGTTTAGGGTTGGATAATGCGTTGACCGTTCCTTGACTTGCGTACTCCTTCTTTGCACGATCACACATCAAGTGTGCATGATGCCCCAAAAGACTTTAGATGCAGCAAGGTTCTCTCTACTGGCTGTACTAAGTTGTGTTACATCACGGTTCCTAACTAATGCCTTTCATGGGCCCCATACCGGGGGGTGGGGGGTCAAGGTATTAAAATGCCTTCCCACCCCCTCTGATGCCTTCCATTCCCCCCTCATACATGCATCAGTTCCATGGATATGTCCTAGCATCCAGAGTTTTATCGGGTATTCAGCCGTTGACTTGCACAGGTTCAGTTGGTGAAGGTTGATGACTTTTTGAATTCATGCTCATGGCAGATCACGGTCAGTGCCTGTCTTTGGAACATGTGTTATGGATTGCATGTTATTCTTGTGTGTATGCGTGGCTGAAGGTCTTGGGGCGGGCTGTGACGTCCTGCCATTGCATGTTCCGTTTTAAGGTCACGTAGGAAAGGCAGGCTCTCTAGATGCGAGGCCCTGAGAACACCATTTCTGGACCCCAGAATTTTCTTGGGGATGGAGAAGGCATTCTGCTGGGCTTGTGCTTGTTAGCTCCAAGCCTACTCCAATGGGTCTTAGTCTTAGACATGAGGTATGAAATTCTCCCGACTCAGAAAGTCTTGCTTTCCGGAGCCCCAGACTTTTCTGGAAGGGTTGGCCGGGGTGGGGAAGCGTGGCAGGCAATGCAAGCAAACCATTCGCAGCAAAAGTAGACAACAGTTGTACCAGCTGGCATGCAGGTATATGGAGTAAGCCATGATTTCCGAGTGCCACCTGCAATTTTTGGGAGTGCGATCAAACAGGGTTTGGTTGGTCACGAGCAAAATGCATGAGCCTCACGGCATCAGCTTCTGCATGCCTACAGGATATTTTTAGAAATCGTGCGTCATTTTGATGCAGTCGGTCTCATGACACTTTACGGCCACCCAGCTTTCCTGGGGACGGGGGTCCCGCGTAGGGGAAGGGCATTCCGTTTTGCTGCAATAATGCCTTCCGGGGGGTGGACGAAGCAGATCGGGCTGCGAGGTCATGGAGAGCCTTGCAGGAACCCTGGACGAGCTGGAGGCTACTCATGCGTGCCGAGCTTTTGATCCTTTCGGGCCTGGAGGTTTGGGGTACAGGGACTAGTATTGCAAGGTGTTCGGGTAGAGGGTTCATGGGTGTAACAATTGAAAGACGCGGATCTGCATCTCTGCTCATCTGGCGCAGTCACTGTCAACGTCGTCCTCGTCGTCCTCGACGTCTTTGTCGCCCTGGTCATAGCAGTAGTAGTACTTGCAGCAGTAGTAGTCGTCGTCGTAGTGGTCATAATATTGGTGGTGGTGGTGCTGGTGGTGGTGGTGGTGGTGGTGGTGGTGGTTGTGGTGGTGGTGGTGGTGGCGGCGGCGGCGGCGGCAGCGGCGGCGGCGGCGGCGGTGGCGGTCGCGGTGGCCATCGTAGTAGTAGTAGTAGTAGTAGTAGTAGCAGTAGTAGCAGTAGTAGTGGTGGTAGTAGGAGTAGTAGTAGTAGTAGTAGTAGTGGTAGTAGTGGTAGTAGTGGTAGTAGTAGTAGTAGTAGTCGTCGTAGTAATACTAAGAAGACTAGCGCTACCACTCTACCATTGAATCTTTCAGGTAGTCAAGTCTCTCTATTTGCGATTTTTTTCCAAAAAAAGGGCCTCATTTTTTTGGGGAATTCCTTAAACCCTAACCCTAGCTCCCATGTGTGGAGATTACAGATGCTGGCCAGGAGCCACCGACAGAACTCGGGCTGGCAGGGCAGACCTTGCTGCAGGCATCCTTGCAAAGCTAGACGGTCCTGCCAAGCCTGAGTCTCCAGGCTTTGTTTAGGTCGTGGTTCAGGATGTGTAGGCATTTGTGGAAAATCATTACTTCGCACCCTCTTGTCCCGAGTGGTGTAAGTTGTTCTAGCCAGCCTTGCTTGATCCAACTACCTAGATGGATGGAGCAAAGAACAACAGAGGAGGCTACTGCATGTAGTTCCAGCTTCAGGCTCCATCAAACTACCACCATCCTACCCACTCGAGTTTCGTAATATTCTCATTTGTATCTGCTTGGGTTGAGAAACTATGGGGCAAAGAGGCGACACCATTTCGCATTGCAACATACTGCAACACGTTCCGTCATTCTTAATCCTGGGCCACCCCCATCAATGTGAAGAGAGGCTGTTGCAAGAGCCGTTGCAAGAACTGTATAAGTGCCAAAATATAGGGGCAGGCTATATCCCCGCTATGCAATATGATTTATCCGTTCTGATTTTCATGATAGCCAGATCGTACGAGCATAAATGGGAGTTTCCCAAAATTAGGGGTACCTTTTTGGGGGTCCGAATAGTAAGGATTATAGTATTTGGGGGTCTATATTTGGGTCCCCCTATCTTGGGAAACTACCAAATCGTGAGCATGCTGGAACATGAATCATTACAGCAAGCTGCCAGATAAGCCCCATACTGGCTCCTCCAGGCCATGCAAGATGGCGGCTGGGAAAAAGAGGCCTCGGAGGACCCCGTGTCAGCGGGTGAGAGCATAGCGATAGTTGCTTCAAGGCAGATGCGCTGCCGTTTGGTGTAATTCTGGGGTTAGGGACGTATATGCATATATATATATATGACTATATATATATATGATTGTATGTGAGGATCATGGGAAGATTGTGGGATCCTAGCAGAGGTCAGGGGGGTCATGGGTAGAAGGTTTTAGCTCCGACATCTTGATGATTCACGGTTCAATAAAATCTGCAAAACATTTGCACCTTGGCCCCAGAACTGGCCACTTCGTAAAAACAACAATTGCAAAGCCACTCTTCCCCATGCTCGCACCAGGAGTTTCTGAAGGGGAAGCGTGTCTTCACCAGGCTCCGGGACGCCGAAGAGTTTGCAGAATCGACGGATCCCTGTGTCTAACGGTTCCTCTTGTATTTTTGTATAATCCCTAATATACTCCCTAATGAGGAACCCATGTTCCTTAGTTATTTGGGTAATATTGACTGTGGCTCAGATTCTGAATCTCAGTCCCCAAATTTGGGTCCAACCTGCCAGCAACATCCTTCACATGAACTATAGTCTTAACTCCTTCAAGGGGATCCTATAGGGGACTAGTATAGGGGTTATTAGGGGGGATACTAGGAGTTTAGACTATGGCTCACATGTGTGATCGGAAGAGGAATTTGCTTTGCATGCGCCAGTGGACTCGCCTCCAGGGAGCCATTTGCAAGTAAAAGATCCAAAGCATGTTGAGGAACTGCTTATGTCATGTTGTTTGAAGGTATGAGCGCTTGTGAGATACTTTTTATGATCTGTCGCAGAACCGGAAAATGATGTGGGGAACCATCCATATGACAATCCTTATGAATCTCTACCTGGCACTAGGTAATGTTTACAATGCCTGCGTCTGTGCTCTGCTGCGTGCATCCTGGGTAGTCTGATTCTTGACAGCTCAGGCCTGAAGGATCTGACTCTAAACCCTAAACCCTAACCCTGAACTCACAGCACAGACTGCGTAATGGGCTTATGATGGTGCTGACGATTTTGCATATGCGGTTGTCCTTATGCTTAACCCCCCTCAGCATGCTGCCAACAAAAGCCGGAGGGTTTCCAACAAAAGGGGGGGTTTCGGTAAATTAGGGGTTCCTTCTTGGGGGTCCCGAAAATAAGGATTATCGTGCTTTGGGCTCTATATCGGGGTTCCCCCTACTTATGGAAACTACTTCCTCGTGATGCTGCAGGCGGGATCCCAACGAAAGCCTGGGACAGCTTCAGACAAGGACAGCCCTCCGGAGGATGCAAGCACAGAAATCTTCTCAAAATAGCCATGGTCGTGAGGCTTACTGTAAAGATCTTGCATGGAAGAGTGGGTTGACATGCGCTCGATGCCCTAGTGCTTCTGATTGTAGCAGCATTTGATGTGCTGTTGCCCGTGCTCATTCTTTAAGCAAACACGGCCATTCGCTACGAGAGGGCAGCATGACCTGATAGCTGCTCTTGTGAGGTATCTGGATCCACTTCAAGGGGCGGAGCCCGCGGAGACTGCTGCAGAGGATCGCCAAGACCTGCTTGAGGTTCTGGCCTCAGTCAAATGCGACAGCCAAAACAGTGTCATACTGACAGAGAGAACTGTCTTGTTTGGAAAGCTAGGGTTCGTGCTCATAGTAGCCTGGCAGGAAATTGACCAAAACGAAGTGTAATCCATGAGTAGACGCAACTGGTCTTTGCGGGGTTGCAGCCACGAGTTGGAGGTTCCGTCAATTTGGGGTGCTTTCCGAGCTGAGGCACTGACCAAGCCCTATGCGGGCAAGCTTGAGGGCTTCTTCAGGCGGTCAATCCAAAAGCCAAAGGCGTGGCTGTCGGGGCTCTGTTTCGTTGCGTCGCAACCACCACCTATTGGCCATTTCTCGTCGTAATGGAGCTTGTGCTTTGTAGACGATCTCCGCGCAGGTAATCCCTAAGCATGAGAGACCCGATCTCGATGCATCATGTCAGGAGGATGAGGAGGAGCAGGATGAGGACGATCGCCTGCATAGTGCCTCTTGCAGCACTGGCGCTTTGCTCCACTGCGCTACTAACAAATCCTCCAGCCATTGTGCTCTAGTGAATTCTTCAGATTTCTGAGCGCGATTGTCGTGGCCGCCACAACCTGCTGCTCCTCAGGTGTCAGATGGCAGAACGGCAAAGACACAGAAGAAAACGAGGCCAGACCAGTGCTGCCACACATTTACTGTCCGGTCACTGGACAAGGTGAGGTGGCACGATGCAGACTCTCAACACTCCGTGACCAAGATATTGTCCTTGACCATATGGTAGCTTCCCAAAATAGGGGACCCCAATATAGAACCTTAAATGCTATACTTCTCAGAATTGGGAACCCCAAAATGAGGTACCCCAATTTTGGGCAACCCCAAACCCTAAAACCCTAAATAGTAGTTTCCATTTTCTTTTCCATTATCCTTATATAAACCCTATATAACCCCCAATATATATATATATGTATATATACATATATATTGGGGGTTATATTCATATGTTAAAGCGGAAGGTTGTCGAATTTTCTGTGGCTCCAGCTTTTAGTGGCCCCGGGAGTTTTTTCGGAGGCGATTTTTTGCGGTGGCTCGGAAGTGACTTAGGGTTTGGCGTTCAGGGTTTAGGGTTTAGGGTGGCTTCGTGTGGGCCGGATCTTGCTTTTTGGGCAGGTTTGGCGGTGTCCCTACATTGGGGGGTACCTGTTTTGGGGCTCCCTGTTTTAAGGATTGTCAAAGTTTGGGGTCTAGATTAGGGTCCCCCTAGTTAGGGAAGCAACCAGTTGAAGCACTTGATGTATGATTCGATTACTTGACCTCTGCTATGCGTCCCTTTACGTATCAACCTAGCCCGACAAGTCACCTCCCACTCCCAGCCATAGGGCTTGCATAGGAGGATGTAGGAACGATGGAGATTCAAACGGCCAAGAACACGGAAAGTGAAATGGGCACGGTACCATTCAAATCATGAACAAGTGAACTGAGCACTGTACCATCATTAAATTTATTGGCATTATCACTCTGAGTATGCATCACGAAGTCAGCTGACGAGGAGAGCGTTACACGTGCGCACATTCTTGCCGCCGGTGTGCGCCATCCTTTGGAGGCCGGACCCACAAAGGCTTCAACATATAGGGTATGCAGGGGTAGACAGGGATGTTATGGGGATTATCGAGGGATTACATACGGTTGAGGGATGTTGTCTCAATGATGGAAAATCAAGCGGAATTAGAACATTGAAAACTAGGGTTTCTAAGGATGAGATATCTCGACTTGGATCACCTTTTCGGGGTATCCTGTGACCCCCTAGGCACATCAAACAAAGTGCGGGACATGATTGAATAGCCCAAAGCCCCACCCCACCCCAAAAATGAGGATCCCTGTGACTTGAATTTGTGCCATGTAAGCTGTATTTGGGCGAAAATCTCCCTTCGTTTCAGTTTCGCTCAGTTGCGCAAGCTACTTGATGTATCCTGATCAAGTGAGTCTTTCCTGTGATTTGGTTCCACCTCATATCCTCTTCATTGCAGATATGTGAGACCTACTGCTTGCACAACCTCTGCCGGCTGTCTCACTGCCACAGCGTTCTGGGTTGCTGTTACGGAACTTAGATATACCATGATGGGTATATATAGTAATGAATAGGGTTTCCCAAATATAGTAACTTAAATTGAGACCCTTAAATCCTTGTATTCGGCCAGTTACCATTTAATTTTCCCTTTTTCCATGTGATTCTCCATTATAGGGGGATAAAACAGTAACTTAAATTAAGTTCTTTAACCCTAAACCCTATACCCTAAACCCTAAATAGTAGTCTCCATCTTATTTTCCATCATCCCAGTATTATACCCCTATCTAACCCCTATGATACAGTAGTTTCCATTTTCTTTTCCATGATCCCGATATAGCCCCAAATATAACCTAGTTCCCAGACCCCCTAAAGGATCAAAAAAATGGAACCCCCCCAATATGAACCCATTGCTACATTGGGGAAACTAGGGGATTATTAGTGGGTTCCATTTTTTGGATCCCTTTCCTCTATAGTCCCTATATAATGTGGTAGTTTCCATTTGCTTCTCCATTATTCCCAATATAACCCCAATATATCCCCTATATAAGAAAGTCCGACAGCAACCCGGTGTTTTCTGTGCTGCGCTGACCAGGCCGAGGCTTTCCTCATGTGGGTTGGAGCCTGAGTTGATGCTACGTCAGCTTTAGGAGGGTTTGGGTACATAATGTGATATGGTTATATAGGGGTTATGTAGGGGTTGTGGAGGGAACCTATAGGGATTATATAGGTGTATAGGGATTATATATGGACTATACAGGGTTCAAGGTTTAGGATTTCCCAATATTAGGGGTACCATTTTGTTGGGTCCCCATAACAAGGATTACGCTATTTAGGGGTCGATATTGGGGTCTTTCTATCTGGGGAAACTACCACATACCAAGCGGTTCATGTCAGGCAAGACCGGAAAGGAGTGTAGCATACCTTGCGGCATGCTTGCGGCAGCATTTGAAGCCCAGTGAGCCCAGTGGAGAGGTTCGCTCTAACTCCAAATGGATGACCGCAACACGAAGGGTGCTCGCGGAGAAGCTGAGTGCCTTGGGGCCACCCTGCCACACATTCCCATGTTGAAGTTTTCATAAGTGTCAAAAGTGTGGGATGGAGGCGTTGCGCAGTCAGCAGCCCCATATTTGATATAGGCAGACCATCGAAGCGGCGTCCGTAGACAGCCGGATCATTCGGGCATCGCTGCCAGGCTGCCTATTCCGAAGAATGTTGTCAAAATGAAGCAGCTGCCTGAACCTCAGGAGCACATATCAGATGAACAAGCTTCAGTAAAACTTAGCGACCCTTGATTCCGAAATGCCTTGGTGCTGAGGCTGGGTTTTGTGGCTTCAGTCCTTGAGGAGTCTGCAGAAGCTCGGCAGCTTGTTGGGTGAATGCCATCCGCCCACACTGCGGAGCCGTGAGTGGTGGACACGAACGAGCATGCCCAGCGGCGGCTGAAGGAGCAGCATGACTGCCACATATGTAGGAGTCAATGCCCGCATACGGATAATGCCGCCTCAGTGCCATGATGCGGTGCAACACAAAAGTGGATCTGGCATCTGCAGATGCAAGCAAGTCCCCCAATTCCGCTAATCCGACCAGCACACAACCTCCTTCTATGCCTTGTACTTGTCATGATCGATCGCAGTCCTTTGCTGCTTCGCTGCGTGGCCAGATGACTCTTGTCTTTGCAAGATTACACGCATTGAATTGCCATGCGCTAGATCCATGCTACTGCAGCCGCGTAGCACCAATATTTGAACAAGCAACCACCCCGTGTCCAGTGTAGTCTCAAAGTTCGTCACTCGCCATGCAGTCTGCACATTTGCATCGCATGTAGGCATGTCCGTAGTCTCCGAGCCCTCCCTGGCAGCCCCGAGCAAAGAGGTCCAGGCTGTCCCGGCTCCCCCGGTCCCGGTCTTTGCAGCCTGGGATTTCACCAGTGGGGAGACAGCAGAGGTCTTGCTCCACTGGCATCAGAGCCTCCCAGAACTGCCTCCGGATGAGGAGCCTTTGTGTACGCTGCAGCTTTGCGTGCAGGGCCAGGAGGGCCAGGAGTTGGAATTCGCGGAAGCACGGCTCCAGAAGCATCACCTGCAGCCTCCTCTGGCAGCATGGACCTCTCCTCAGCTCGAAAGGCTCATGGTCGTAATGGCAGACCAGCGACGGGGCGCCCCGCCGAACCAGGATGAGGTACGCCTGCGCCGCGCACCCGGCCGGCTAGTCATCGATGTCCACTTCCGGAGTGAGGGCGATTGCCGGAGCTCGATTCCGTTGAGTGGCTGCGTCGTCGAGATTCTCAATGCATACTCGCTGGATGCCCGGGTTTGAATCTGCTCTGAGCAAAGCAGCTTGCATCTTCAAGTGAAATAACTCTGCAATGCAGGTGTGCTGTCGCGCATCAGTGACAGACCCATACTCAGCCCTCAGGTCCGGCAGATCTGCACGAAGCGAGGTGCTGGACGTGCTGCGGAGCCTTTGGCCTGTATTCTGTGGCGGCTGCCAGGCAAACTCTGGACTGCAGACGCCCTCATCCTTTTCGTTGTCTCACATGGTGGATAAGTTTGTTCCCTACACACGGTTGCGATTTATCAGAGCAGCTGGTAAAGGGCACACGATGCTTTGATACGTCGAGCGTGTGCCAAGAAGTTTCTACAGAATTTTTACTTCGAATCTTGTGCGCTGGAGTCGACCTGAAACCGGAAGCTTGAAGTGGCAAACCCAGCTATGGACTGTCACCCAAAGACTTCTGCTACGAGCCACAACTTCAAAGCCTATGTGGCAGTGTCCGAAAGTGAGCATCCCTTCAGTGTTGAAGCCGCGAACCTCCAGCCAGGGCTGCAGCAGCGGCAGAGGCGCTTCACACGAAGACCATTGCAGCAAGCCGGGCCAGCATCGAGGCCCCCACCTGCAGTGGCAGTTTCGTTGGAATTGCGGGTCCCCCTCTTGGGCTCTGCACAAGGTATCAGATGACCTCAGTGGGGGTTTAGGGGAAAAGTTAAGGGAATTGTAGACCAATAATATGACAGGCCGTTAATGATTTCATCGTTGACCCGCTCTGCTAGGAATCATTGTGATGAGCACCAGCTTCTGTAGCATAGTTTCCCAAAAATAGGGGACCCCAAAATAGACTCTAAAATATTATAATCCATATTATTGGGGCCCCCAAAAAGGTACCCCTAATGTTGGGAGACCCGCAAATAGTGAATTCTTCGCGAATCCTCGCAAACCCTGCTCATCACAATTCTTTTCAGGGTCTCCGATGCGAGATGGCCCGGCTGGAGAGCGACTGGCGGGAGGCCTGCGCCCGGACCCCAAGCAACAGCTGGGTTTAGGGTTTAGGGTTCAGGGCTTAATAGGGTTTAGGTTTTAGGGATTTAGGGTTTAGGGTGGTGGTTTTTGGACGGTACAGTAGTCATTGTTCCCTTTGATTTTTTCCCTTTGTGACAAGACATTCCTACCCGCGCTACTAGATAGCTCTCATTCTCGTACTTGCAGAGGAATTGCAGTAATGGGGAGTTTACTAACAGGGGCTGCTGTTGTTTTGGTCAAGGCTTCGGCTTAGGGGATCCAAAGGCCCTGGGCTTTTGGGGTCCATGGACCATCTTTTCCATTCAAGGAGGGTTTTCGTGTACTTCTGCAGCTATTCTGAGGCATTCCGCAGGAGGTTCTGTAGAGGAGTGTTTTTACTTTTACAGTGCTTCGATTCCTCAAGGTGAGGTCCTTGGCATGGCTGCCCCTACTGACCCCCATACTATTTCTTAGCTCAAGTCGCTTAGGGATCACTATATAGGGGGAGGGTGAGGGGTGATGAATTAAGGTTGTTTAGGGATAATTATATTATAGGGGAGCCCATGATGGATTGTGTCTCTGGGGTCTAAGGCCGACGCCAAGAAGCGTCATCGCGGCCTCCTCCGCCGGTTCGCCCTGGTGCTGCAGGCCAAGATAGACAAGGCCGGTGGGAATGCCCCGCTAATAATTAGTTCCCCTCAGTAATGAATCGTCAGTGCCAGAGTTAAGTGCAGTGATAGATTCAGATGCTTGGCGCTTGCTGGCAAGGAGCGGACCCTGCACGAAGAACTGAAGGACCGCTCCGCAGAGAGGGCTGTTCTGTTAGGGTGCGTGTGTTGAAGCTTGCTGTGCCTTGTGCATGGCTTTGATAGCAAGGCTCGGCGATGGAATCAGCTGGGCGCAGCCAGCGCGCGCAGCCTATTGTGCTTGCATGTGCTTGCAATCCTTACAGCCAGGGAGACGTCAGAGCATCTGCAAGCAGCGGTTCACCGCAGCCCTTTTGTGCTTTCCAGCATTCCAG